TATAAGAAGTAAAAGTATAAGAAGTAGAAGTAGAGGTAGAAGAAGTAGAAGAAGTAAAAGTAGAAGAAGTATAAGTATAGGTAGAAGAATTCTAAGAAGTAAAAGTAGAAGAAGTATAAGAAGTAGAGGTAGAAGAAGTATAAAAAGTAATAGTAAAAGTAGTTTAAAAAGTGGTTTAAAAGTAGAAGTATCGGTATTAGAAGTATAAGAAGTCAAAGTAGAAGAAGTAAAAATACAAGAAGTAGAAGAAGTAGCTAAAACTGTGACAACAGGTAGTTCAAATATTTCTATACTGGCGGTTTTACTTTTTTATATGAGAAAAGCTGGTTAGCTTTATGCTAGCTGCTATATATTGTGATGCGCTAATGTTTAATTTACCGTAACGTATCAGACTATTTCTGTTATTTAATGAATTGAGGACATTAACTAAAATAATAGAACAGCTGTTTATTCATTTTGGGAGTGAACGGATTCGTCAGAACGCTGGTTTTGTATTTTATTAATAAAGTTTGACTTATCTGACAGTTTTTTTGACGTTCTCATTAGCTTAGCTTTAGCTGGTGGATGCTAACTCAGCGTAGCAGCAACTTTAGTTTTTATTCTATGCGCCTTTTATAGAGAAAATACGGTACTCAACAGGTTTTGTGCTGCTTTGGAGTCTGGTTTCATATTTGGAGGTTTTGGGTCTGGTAGCATCTCAGATTTAGCTTCGGCTAGCTTTAGCGTTAGCTTTAAACTGGACAGATCGGCCCTTTTTCTTGTAAATTCCCGCCAAAGGCAGATTCTGGTGGACTCACTCAGGTGCCGTCTGTCTTCCAGCTGGACTACGTGGTGACGTGTGCGGTCTGCACGCGCTCAGACGCAGGAGACATCCACATCCACAAAAAGAAGTGCCAGGTAGGAGGCAGCCGCCGGGCTCTGGATCGACCTGTTTGCTGCGAACTTGGCTTTGGGTCTGGTTTAAACTTGGATTTCGGTCTGGTTTAAACTTGGCCTTTGATCTGGTGTTAACTTGGCTTTTGGTCTTTTTAAATTTGGCTTTTTGTCTGGTTTTAACTTTGCTTTTTGTTTGGTTTTAACTTTGCTTTTTGTTTGGTTTAAACTTGGCTTTTGGTCTGGTTTAAACTTTGCTTTTAGTCTGTTTTAACTTGGCCTTGGGTCTGGTTTAAACTTAGTCTCAGACTTGATTTGATAGAGTTTCCACTTGGCTTTTTCTCTGGTTTAAACTTGGCTTTCAGTCTGGTTCTAATTAAGCTTTTAGTCTGGTTTTAACTTGGCTTTTAGAATGGTTTAAACTTGGCTTTTACTCTGGTTTTAACTTGTTTTTTTGTTTGATTTAAACTTGGCTTTTGGTCTGGTTTAAACTTGACTTTTTGTCTGGT